CGTTACAGTTACTTTTTCACCCGGGAGATTAATTCCGCATTAGAGACGGGCCGGCGGGGGGGGCAGGGAAGGGAGAGAAAGAGAGAGAGAGAGAGAACGGACGTGCGCGCTCGCTCGGCCGTTCGCTCGATCGAGCGAGTCCCATAACCGTAACCGGATACGATTGAGCGTAATGTTTGTCATTAGAGGTAACTACCTCGGTCGTGCCGACGAAACGCCATAAGGATATTTCCTTGTACAATGTAACACTATTCCGCACCGCGCATTCGTCGGTCGTTCTCCCCGCGCGCCGCGAGAGGACCGGAGAGAAAAGTCTCTCGCTTCGTATTTCTCGCTCGCGATTGAATCGCCGCGGGCGACACCGGGAGACCGGTAAATAGCAGCGGCCAAGAGAAAAGGTAGAGATAGAGATAGAGAGAGAGAGGGAGACGCGCAAGACACCGTGATCGATCGAATAACGACGAAGGCGCGGGGGCGGAGAGGGGGGGCGTTTTTCCCGCTCGAGGGAAAATCTCGCGGCGCGACTCTCGAGCTGAACGCGCCTGCCTCTCTCTCGCCCAGATTGCCGCGGGAGTCGGCCGCGAGGCAGGCGGGGGAGGGGGGAGGCGTGGGAGGAGGGCCCTTGAAAGGGGTGTTGCTCTCTCTCGCGACAAACGGCTCGGCTAATTACAGGGAGGCCGCAGCTCTCTCTCTCCGTGTAAACCGGCGGCGCAAAGGCAGCTGTCGGTTCCCAGGCTTCCGCGGTTCGTAGGTTTACGCGTGTCGGCGGGGCTTTTTGCTCTTGCACAGAGCAAAATGTCGTCGTCCGTTCGGCCGCGCTTCGGTTGCGCCGCGCTGCGATACGCGCCCCCTCCGCCCCTCCGGAGGCCCCAGAATATCCGCCAGCGGATCGGATCCAGAAGCCGCGCCGCGGCGTCGTGTCGCGCTTCTTTCTCGCGCGCCGTGTTTGTTATCGTTCGCCGTGGCCCACGCTAATATCAATATTAGCGGCGCGCGCGCACGAGGATACTGCGCGAGAGCGGCAGCCGGACTCCGAGGAGGACGATTTGGACCGGGGGGGGAGGGTGGAGGGGGCGCGATCTTCCGCATTTGCGTAAGCGCCAGAAGAACGTGGGAAACGCGCCGAGAGACGCTGGTGCGATATTTCCTTCCTCATACGGATCGGTTACGACGACAGAAAGAGAGAGAGAGAGAGAGAGAGAGAGAGAGAGAGAGAGAGAGAGAGGAGGAGGGGAGAAGGGGGTTAAAAAAAGAACACGATTGCACGATGACGCCAGCGCCGTTGCCGCGGCTGTTTCGCAATCGCCGGAGGCGTTTACGCATGGCGGGTGTAAAAAGGCCGCGTTTCCGACACGAAGCAGAGCTTCGTTGACGAACGGCGAGTCGCGCGCGCGGTCCGATAATAATGAACGTCTCGATGAGAGAGGCGAGATTGTACGGACGAGGGCGGGGGGATGCAGCGTCTTTCAGACGGTCGTTGCTCTTTCGCGTATCACGGCCCGGGTATATTACGGAGACGTCGTCGGCCGCGGCGAAAGGTCATCGCATTGTTCGCCGCGCATCCGACTGGCAAGCAACCCCCTCGTCACGACACACTTCCTCCTCGCCGACTGCCGGCGAGGAAGGAAGCCCGATTTCTCGCGACCCCTGCTAAGATAATACGGCCACCACCCCCCCGCCCGGCGGGAGGTCGAAGATTTCAACCTTTAGCGAAATGCCAGGCGGGGCTTTAAACGGGCTAATAACGCCGCTTCTCCCCTTCGACACGCCGTCGTACGTCGCGTCGCGCGCGCGTACGTTTCGATTCTGTCGCACAAATTGCCCGTAGAATTGCGTATCGAGCAGCAGAGAGAGAGAGAGAGAGAGAGAGAGAGAGAGAGAGAGAAGAGAGAAGAGAGAGAGAGAGAGAGGAGAGAGAGAGGAGAGAGAGAGAGAGAGAAAAGAGAGAGAGAGAGCGGGAGAACGTTAGACCGCGCCCCCGACGACGACGACGTCGTTGACACTCGCGTCTCACGTTAACGTCGTGACGTAGTCTCATTAACGAAAACGACGACGACGACGACGACGACGACGAGTTAGATCAGAGCGAAGGAACGCGCGCTTTCCTCAAATGCAATACTCCAGAGACACATTTTTATTATTGAAGCTTCTTCACCTGCGACGAGCGAGAGAGAGGTGAGCGACGCTGTTTTCCTGATATTTTAAACACCGGCGGACAGCTCTCGGCGAGGAAAGCGGCTCGCGCACGTGTGCATCGTCGCCAACGTCGTTGGTGGGTCGCCGCGGGAAAAAGGGGTGTGCAGCGGAGTACTCGATCGGAAAAAGTGCCGACGGATACGCCCTCGTTAAAGCCCCCGGGGTCGTCGTCGACGACGACGTCGACGCCGCCGCCGCCGCCGCCGCCGTCGCCACCGCCGGCGGCGGCGGCGGACAGTAAAGGTTGACACGGTATCTCTTACAAGGCGGTCATTAGTCGAATGAGAGGAAGTCTTACGAAGTGCCTGCGTAAATATCCGTGGGACTGGCCGCTCATCAATCATCGTAGAATCCTTGCGAGAGAGCCGCGAGGCTACGCACGAAATTACGTATCGCCTTACGTCTCTCGCGCGGCCCGCCCCGAACGGAGACGAAATTACACGCGAGCTCTTTAACGAAGCTATCGCTGTCTCCTCTTGTACCCTCATACTCTCTCTCTCTCTCTCTCTCTCTCTTTAGAATTCCTTTTCTCGGGATATTTTCGGGTGTCGAGATGACACGCTGCGTTACCTTTCGCTCAGCTTGCAAGATGGACGAAAAGATGGAAAAAAGTTGTACATTAGTCGCAAGTCGTAGGAATTCACCAATCACAGTCGGATATTCTCTTAACATTCGACTATGATTGGTGGATTTCTACGACTTGCGACTTGCGTTCTGTGTCTTGCGACTAATGTAGAACGGGCTTAAAACGCGTTTGCGCGTTCCTTTGGAGGACATCGTTCGTCTTTTGAGACATTCGCGGATGGAGAGCCTCCAGTTTGAGGAGACCTGCGAGCGCCGCTTCGGACCGTTCAGGATGCGATAAATATCGAACGGTGCGAGGGGACTTGAGGCGTCTACTTGCTCGCCTACTTTTCACGCCTTCGTATTGTTTCATCCGTCGGAGCACAAACGAAACGGAAAGTGACGGAAAACAAGACGGCATACAAATTACACTCGAGACTTGCCTCGCCCAAGTCGGCAAGTTGAATACTCGCGGATACATTCGAGAGAGAGAGAGAGAGAGAGAGAGAGAGAGAGAGAGAGAGAGAGAGAGAGAGAGAGAGAGAGAGAGCGAGAGAGAGAGAGAGAGAGCAAGAGAGAGAGAGAGAGAGCAAGAGAGAAAGAGAGAGGAGGGGGATGGTTAGAAAAGTTGCCGTTTCGCGACGATCTCCGTCGGCGAAACGTATCAAGTTCCGAGACTGATGCGCCGATGATATTACTAAAACGCGAATCGCCGGCAAACACGGGATCTCGAGCGCCGTCGTTTAACCGATAGCGTATAACGTCACATTAGACACGCGCGCAGGACGCATACATCGCGCGGGGGCGCGGGTAGATAAAGTCATCCATAGGCCGCACAATGCGGGCGGACTATTTACTATATTTGCGATATCATAGGGCGAGTAATGGTTTCGCTTGACGCCACGCTCGGCGAGGGAAGGGAAGATGGGCGAGAAAGAGAGAGAGAGAGAGAGAGAGAGAGAGAGGGAGCGACGAAGAGAAAGTGAGAGAGAGAGAGAGAGAGAGCGAGAGAGAGAGAGAGAGAGAGAGGCGGATAGGATATTCCGTGAGACTGGCTGTCATATTCATGTATTGACACCGAGCTGGTTGACTAATGGACTGCTGTTGTCACAGGCTCGTGTTACCGCGAGGGCCCGGCCCGGCCGAGTCGTTTTTCCTGAGAATCGACTGAAACGCGCATTCACGTGCACACACCCGCACGCACGTCGACGTAGTCGCGCGCACAGCGAAAACTCGATTCCGCGCGACGGCATCGAGCGAGTCACGCTCGAGTCGCGACGGCGAGGCGTCGCTCGCTGCGTTATCGCGTTCTCCTAATTGGCGCCCTCCTAATTGTTGTCTCTCGCGTCGTTGATCGCCCCCCCCCCGCACTCCCGGGGATAGGCTGTTAATTTATATAATTTTCCGCCGGCCAAGGGGAGGCTGCGGCGGGGCGCTTGTGGACGCTCGCGCGCTTCCGGCCGCTCACCGGAAGACCACCACCTCGCTCGTCGCTGTCTTGAATATAGAACGGCACGTCGCGCGCACGTCTAAAGCCGCGAATAACGCGCTCGCGCTCGCGCGCGCGACCGTTCTTTCCCGACTTTTACATATTTATCGAGCCTCGCATTGTTGTCGCGTCAGACACGAGACGTCGACATTGTCGAGCTCGAAAATCCGTGATATTATATCTGCGAGCGGGCCAGCGCCAAGGATCTGGCCGGGGATCCTGATCCCCCGCCGATCAAAGGATGTCCGCGTGCTTTCATCCGGTCGCTCCGAATCAGCGCGCACTTACAATACGCGCCCGTGACGAACGGCAGGGGGGAAGAGGTGCGCGCAAGCCGCGGAGCGGACGAAATGAACGATTTCACGCGTCGCGACGATACGAGAGCGAGCTTCTCACTCGCGCGACTCCGACAATTCAGCACGCCGCCTTCAACACGTAGCGCGCGTGCAAATTGCGAGTTATCTGCCATCTCGCGCCGTCTCACCTGTCCGTTCGATACATGTTTCGCCGCGCGCTCGTTAACACGCTCGCGATAACGAGTGGCGCTCGCGAAATTCCCGCGCGCGGTTCCGCAGCCGCGCCGCGGCGATCGCGCAGGTGGAGGAGAATAACTCGGGAATAGTCGCGGAATTCGAGGGGGGAAGCGAGCGATTATTCTATCACGACTCGACACCCGATACGACACGCGACGACGACGAGCCCGCTCGGAAGATCGCGGTTTCCCTGCCTGCGCGGAGAGGGAGCTCGCCTTCCTTTCTTCCTTCCGTCAGACCAAGACTGTCTTCTTGGCAAGGACGGACGGGAATCGCGCGTCCCGACCCGGAAGTCCGCGGCGACGTTCGCTTGAAAGCCGGCCGTGTGAAGCCTTCGGTTCGGCCGTCGCGCCCGGAGATTGGCGCCTCCCGGGGCGCGACGAGGTGACGACGAGGTGAAACCAGCACGCTCTCTCGTACTCACCTCGCACCTTCTGCTCGTCCTGCAGCTGCCGCTCCAGGCTGTCCTTGACCTCCCGCTCCCGGAGAACGTCCATTTTCAGCTCGGCTGTAACACACGCAAGGCAATGGGGATTTATTCGAAACGTCGCTGTCGTCTCCTTCCTCCTCTCCCTCCCTCCTCTTCCCTCTCTCTCTCTCTCTCTCTCTCTCTCTCTATCTGTCTGTCTGTCTGTCTGTCGGGCCGCAGGATACGAGGGGCGGCATCATTCAATTCTCCGACTCGGTTGCTCGGGCCCGCACACTCGTTACTTTTAATTGCTCGGTTACTCGGCTCGCGCGACTGCTCAAGACGCCCGAGAGTGTCTCCACCCTCCATGAATAATTACTAGGAATGGTCTCATCTCGCGAGACATCGCCGAGCGAGAATGAGAGCGAGACGGGGAGAGAGCCTCGCTCCCGGAAACGCCGAGGACTCAAAGACCGACCATAGCGAGCGGTTAATTTGACAATAAGAGTCTCTCCCAGTCATCTCCTTCTCCTCCTCCTCCTCCTCCTCCTCCTCCTCGCCCTGCGTATCCTCCCGTCCCCCGTCGTCCGAGAGGTGCTGCGCGCACGGGAGGATATCGCACGGTTGGCTGAGTTCGTGATTAAATCCAATGGCGATGGGCAGACCAGAGCTCGCATAGTTACCTCTAATAGAATTATATTAAGACATGGAGATCCCGTTTCCATCCTCGCCCCTCCCCCTCCCGTCGCCCCGCTCGTACCCGCTCGACTTGCGTTCCTCGTTTCGCGTACACCACTTGCAACGTTCATCTTTGTTCCCTCCTCTCTCTCTCCCCCCCCCCCCTCAGCGCGCACTCACGACTCGCAGAACTCCCCCGTTCCCGTGGGAGCCACCCGCGCTAAATTAGCCATTTCGAATCTCAGCTAGAGGGTCGTTAGGAGGAGTCCAGAAGCTCGTTGAACATCGCTAAGAAACCGTGAACAGCGCTCTCTCTCTCTCTCTCTCTCTCTCTCTCTCTCTCTCTCTCTCGCGCGCGCGCGCGCGCGCGAACGGTGACCAGTTTGCAGTCACTCCGTCGGCGTTGGAACTGACATGTTGAAACAAGCGTAGGCATATAAATGAGAGAATTAGAGAGCGGACAGAGGGAAAGGCGAAGTGAGCGAAACAGCGAGCGTACGCAAATACAAATGACGTCTCGAATTACCGAGCCCCTTCGGAAAAAGTCGCGGCGCGGCGGAGTTGTTTAAGAGGCTGGTGAAATCACTCTTCAGTCGCAGGTAACACGATAAAACGTTTCCGGGCGTTCCATATCGGGCCTGGCTAATTCGCTTTAACGGGAAGAAAAGTACCGCTGCGAAAGGGCACCCTTCTCCCCCTCCCTCTGCCCTCCCTCGCCTCTCAAATTACATCGGTGGCCAATGAGCCACGCAGCTCGTAACGCACGCGAGACGGGTCTCGCCCGGCGAGATCGGTCGTGCTCGGGACGATTCGCAGACTATTCCGTTTATTACTTATCGCGGTTATTAGGGTATTAGCGTCGATGGAAATCGACGGGCGAGCGAGCGAGAGAGAAAGAGAGAGAGAGAGAGAGAGAGAAGAGAGAGAGAGAGAGAGAGAGAGAGAGAGAGAGAGAGAGAGAGAGAGAGTGAGAGAGTCGTCCGGCTGCGAAACGTTATCACCGGCATCACGGCGTCGCTGCGGCGTCCGCCGAGAGCAAATCAGATAAAAGCGCGCGCCGGTAAAATGATATCCACGCTCATTCTCCGCGTACACGCCGCGCGTTTTCACGCCTCTCATCGGGCGAGTTTAATAAAATTCGAAACAACGTTTAATCCGCTTATCACGTTTCGCAGGCTTTTAAAAGACTCCGCGCGCTCGCGCGCGTGCGGCCTCTCCTCGCGTACACGGCTACCGCCGCATTAGCAGCAATTATTCCCCGGCCTCGTCCTCGTCCTCGTCCTCGTCCTCGGCATCGCCCTCTCGTCGTCGTGGATCCAAAAAGTTTCGCGACATACGTCCGGCATCCGTGACGACAAGAGAGCGACGACAAGAGAGCGGCGTGTAAGAGAAGAAAGAGAGAGAGAGAGAGAGAGAGAGAGAGAGAGAAAGGGACAGAGGACGCGGGAGGGAAAGAGGGAAAGAGAGAAAGAGACGGAGCCTGACGGAGAATCAAGCCGGTAGATTAGGTAGGGCCGCGTCTCAGCAGTCTGCCAGCAATTTGAGAGCGTTTGCGAGGTCCATTAACGGCGGTAACTCTTCACGACCGGCCGCCACGAAGATTCAATTTGAATGCTAACCAGAATAGGAAGTTCGCGCCGGGGCCCCGTGCTATATACGCCGTGCGCTGTTCTCTCGCCCCCCCCCTCCCTCACCCCCCCACAGCCCCCGTTATCCCCTCGCCACCCTGTTATTGCCAATTTCGGCGCGTTTCTGCAGCCCACTTTGCGATCGTTTAGATTATCATCTCTCCCGGTTTCTCTTTCTCTCGACGGCCCCGGTGCGCCTTCCACCCCGCCCTCCTCCTCCTCCCCCGTACTTTGTACATTCAGCTGCCCCCCCACCGTCCCGGGCCCCCCGTCCGCCCGTACCCTTCCCCCTCCCCCCGGTTAGGTCGCTCTCAAACGTTTCCGGGGATAATTGAACTTTATTAGAGAGATGGTCGTCGACGAAACACCAGCCCTTGCATCCACCCCGAGGCCCGACGAGGATCAACTGGATCCCGAAGTGCTCGGACGATCACGACCCCGCCGGGTCTTTTTCTCACTCGCGAAAACGCCTCGCGACGCTCGCGCGAGACAGGAACGGCCAAGGGCGGAGGGCAAGGACGCGCGCGCGCGCCGCATCGTTCTCTCCGACGACGGCCGCGGGTGTGTCGCGAAAGAAACAAAGAGACAGAGAGAGAGAGAGAGCGGAGGCTTGAATTCATTTGCAGCGCCGCGCGATCAAATTTGCCCCGAACCGAGCGACACATTGCGTGTGTCTGAAATAATATTGTATCTCATCTGAAATCTCTCTCCTCCTCTCCTGGCGCTTCGCAGGGCGAGTCGCGGCGGGCAGCAGGCGGGACAGGACGGCCGGGAAAAAGTTTGTCGCGATGCCGAAGAAACGGGAAATCAATTATGCCAGCGGGGTCGGGGGGAGGGCGAGGCGAGGGCGACCTTATTGAAATTTGGCTGCGGGGTCGTGAGCATTAAAATTGCAGGGATTAATATAAGCCGCGGTGAGGAAGCGCTTCGCGCGCTCTCTCTCTCTCTGTCTCTCTCTCTCTCTCTCTTGCTCGTCGTAAGGAAATGATTCCGCCGCGCTCGGTTATAAAAGCCCGGGCCGTTCTATCATTCTTATGTCAATTAGACGAGCCCTAATCGCGAGCTGGCTCATAAACCGAGAATTATATCTTTCATTTCAGCGGCCGTGTTCTCGCAAAGCGCGCCTGCGAGAAGCAGCCCCGTTCGCCGACCTCTCGCCGCTCGCTGCGGGCGAGAGAGAGAGAGAGAGAGAGAGAGAGAGAGAGAGAGAGAGAGAGAGAGCGCTTTAGCCGCCGCGGATAGACGGTAATTAATGAGACGAGAACTGTTGTCCGCCGGTCAATTTCGTTTGCCAGTCGACGGACGGGGAAGAGACGTATCGGCGCGAGCCGACCGCTCGGCATATTTCACGTCGCATCTCCGCCGCGCGGCGGCGAGAATATTGAGAGCAGCGACACTCGGCGAAATGATCGCGCGGGAGCGAAGGAGCTTTCCTCGTCTCGTCCTGACGCGCGCAGGTTCCTCGCTCGTAACAGTCGACGGTGTTACCTCGCCTGACCCGGCGGATACATTTCCGAGGGCCGCGCGGCGCTCGTCACGATTTACGAGTTTCTCGCCGGACGCCGGACGATATCGCGCGCCGGCCTAGGAGCGTCGGCGATAATAATTTTCACGGTGGCGCGAGCACTCGCGCGGTAACAATAACGGTGCAACGGAACGTGCATGGCACTGTTACCGGAGCGATTCATGGTTATTGATTAGTATATACGGTCGCAGGAAGACGAGAGAGAGAGAGAGAGAGAGAGAGAGAGAGAGAGAGAGAGAGAGAGAGAGAGACGGGGAGGGGGAGGAGAGCGAGAGAGGCTGCGGTATAATGTTCACAACCCCCGAGGGCTTGTACCACGACGTATACGCGCACACACACACACACGTACACACACACACACACACACACACACATACACACACTTAAATATACGTACACATCTCCACGGAAACATATATATCTCTACGTAGCGTACACTCGACGCTAAGATATTCGCACGGCCCGAGGCGACCCTCAGAAACAACAATGTCAACTTGCCCGCCGCGGCCCGCAATCGTTTGAATAGTATAATGTAGTTTTCGTGTTACAACTCACTCACCCCCGTGTACTAGTCTTGAGCGAGCGCCTACGAAACAGAGCGGCGGTTTCTTTTCGGTCTCTCCTCTTAAAACGTCCGACGACGACGACGACGACGACGACGACGACGACGACGACGACGACGACGTCGCGCGCGCGGCGCGACGACCCCACGAGGAGCGAGCCGAGGGAGAGTCTCTCGAGCGCGGCGCGCGAGATTGGCGGGTATTTATGAATTTAATTTTAACGGATCAAGAGCGGTAATAAAGCGCGGGTAGGAATTAACCGCGGGATTATTTCGGTAATTTACAGCCCCGGGGATCGCGTCTGGTATTCTCTCTTATTTGCATCCGCGATATCCTCGCCGCGCCGCCGAGCGCGTTATCCTTCTTTTCTTCCTTCCTTCCTTCCTTCCTTCCTTCCTTCCTTTCTCCCACCCTTCCTCCTCTTCCCTCGTGCCAAAGGCCCCCCGGAAAGTTTCGGAAAGTGTCGACGTTTCTCTCTTCTCGCGAGTCCCCGAGATGAAATTTTCCTTGCCTTCATTCCCAGCTCGGACAATTTATCGACTCAATTAAGTAATCATGAATATTGAATAATTAATAGAACGAATAGAAGAAACAAACTTTCCTCTTCTCATAATTCGTTTATTACCGCTTGTTGCAGACCCGTCGGAGATCCCGCAAGGACTTGGACATCGTAGCGCGCCGAAGTGGAAATTGAAATTTGATTTC